TTTTCAAAATTTTGATTTTAATTTTTTACTTTAATAAAATTTTTTTTTAACAAAAATTTCAAAATTTATTATAATAATTAATAAGATTTTGAAAAATATATATATATAACAGATAAAGGTAAAATCCAGTTAAAAAAAATTTACTATGAATTTTAACAATTAACATTTTAATACCAACTACTTTTTTTTAAAAAAAAAAATAAAAAAATTTATTCTAAATATTATATCAGATCTTAAAAATCTTATTAATTTAAGAATTTTCTAATTATTATTTAAATTAAAATTTTTGTAATTAATATTTTTTAATTTTAGCTAAAATTAAAAACTAGTATTTTAATTTTGGCCAAATTATAATTTTTAGTTGAAATTAAGTGGTAATAATTACTAATTGAATAATAATTACTACGCAATATCCATTTATATATATATAATTATAAATAAAAAATTTATTAAAATTAAAAAATTTTATTATTTGCATTAGTTAAAATAATTAATTAATTAAAATAATTAAAAACTATTAAAAAAAATTATTAGTAAAAATATAAAAATTGGAAAAATTTTTTTTTAAAAAAAGAAATACAAAAAAAAAATACTAAATAGCTTTTGAATTAAAAATATTATATAATTAATAAAAAAAAACTGAAAAAAAATTTTATTAAATAAGTTAAAAATGATATTTAAAATTATTTTTGATACTTTAAATAAAATAAAAATTTGTATATTAAGAAATTTTTTTTACTTTATTATAAAATATAAAAATATAAAAATCTTAAAGTTGTAATATAAATTGCAAATTATATTTTAATTAATAGGAATTAATTATAATTATATTTTTAAGTAAAATATATATGAAAAAATGTATTTGTAACAGCCTGTTACATATCTTATTTGTAACATCCTTTTTTTATTTTTTTTTAATAATAAATTTAATATGTGTTTCACAAATAAAATTTTTATATGCAAAATTTAATTTGGAAAACTTTTACTTAATGTATTTAAGACAGTTTCATAGACAAAATTTTAAGTTATAAGCAGTTTCTTGAAATTTTTTAAAAAATTCTTTTGTCTTAGTTACACGACTGATCTTTTGTTTTTGTTTACATTACGCCTGATCTTAAATTTTAATTGGATAAAATTGGGGGTTGTTACAAATAAGACGCGTAACAGGCTTTTACAATTAGATTTATCCAATATATATTTATTTTTAAAATAAAATATTAGTAAATAAATATTAAGATTTGGATTTTTTTTTTTTATTTTTATATATATTTTAATAATTTAAAATTTAAATATTATATTAAAATAGCTCTATTTATAAAGTATAAAAAAATAATTTTTATTTTATTAAGCAATATTATTTAAATATAAAAGTGATTTTATTTAATTAAAATAATAAAAATCTAAATAAATATTATTATAAAAATTATAATATAAAATATTATAATAAAATTTTTGAATATTTAATATATAGATTTTAAAATTATTTTTTTTGTTAAAATTTAAAAAAATTATTTTGCAAATTTCTTAGCATTCAAATTTAGTAATTCAATTTTAATGAATTTTTTTTTAAATAATAAAGATTAAAATTATAAAATAAAAAAAAAATTTTTTTTTTATTTAATTTTTTATTTATTATTAAATTATCTAAGCTGATTTTATTTATATAATAATTATAATTCATTTTGCAATATTTCATTTTACAATATATACTTTACTATATATGCCACCCAAATTATTTTGGGCTGCCATAATTATAAGTAAAATCCCAAATTCAATTATAGCATCCCAAAGTAAATTATATATAAACTGAATGAATTACGGCATCCCAAATTATAATTATGGCATCCCAAAATAATTTGGGCAGCATATATATACTTTACATATATTTTTTTTTATTTTTTATTTATATTTAAAAGAAGCAGTATATATAAAAAACAGAAAGAATTACAAAAAAACTAAAAAGACTACAATTTAAATTTAATTAATAGTACCTTATCTGCTGAAAGCAAATTTATTCTATAATCTATATATTTTTATAAGTTTTTCAAAATTTTTTTTTTTTTTACAATATTTGCAATATAAAAAAATAATTATTTTTAAAGTATTGAATAATTTTAATTAGTATAACTTATTTGGTTTAAATTATAGTTTTTTGAAAAAATATATATTATAGTATTAAGTACTATTAATTATAAATATAAGTAGTATTATTTAATAAAGTTAAAAATATTTATATATTTATATAAGAATTCTTAATCTAAAATTTTTAATATTATTTTAATTGGAAATGCAAATTTTAATAAATATAATTTTTTAAATAATTTAAATTGGATAAAATTCTTTTAAATATATAATATATTGCTATATATAATAAATTATTTTGATTTTTATTTTGTAAAAAAAATTATATAATATAGATAAAAAAATATAAAAAAATTGCAATTTGCGTTTATTAATATTTAATTTAATTGAATATTTATAAAATTTACAGAAAGTAATTTATAATTAATAATATTAAAAAAATGGCCTATAAGTATTTGAATAAAAGTTTATAAATAAATTACAACTAAATATTCAGAATTCTAAAAAAGTTTCAACTGAAAAAAATTTACTATTAGTTTTAAGTATTTTTTTTAGAGCTAGAATTATAATAATATCAGCCAATAATTAAAAAAAGGAAATAATTTTCTTACTAGAATTACCATATAATTATTTTAGCCTATTTAGTTATTTCAATATTCTCTTTTTATAAAATTCATACGAATATGGTTTAATAACCTGCTGAATCAAAAAATATTCAAAATTTTATGATAATTTATTTTCCCGTCAGATGTACAAACTACGACAACAGCAGGTCCGTGAATTGTCATGTGACCAATGAGGGTTATCATAAGATTTATATATAATAAAGATAATAAAGGATAATTTATCAGAAATCTATATATATTAGTTAAAAAAGTTTAATATTTTAATGAAAATGGAATTCTTATTTTAAAAAATTTGTGGCATTTGGATTACAAATAATATTTTTTTTTAAATGTAATTTTACATGCTTTACAAGTTTACTTAGGGTAATTTTTGGCTTTTTAATTTTTATATATATTTTTTCAAAAATGATGAATTTTGCAAAAATAGCATTTAAAACCCTCTTTGGTATTTTAAGTAAACTTGGCCATCTTGCAATTTTGGGGCTGTATAAAGTATATATTAAGTTTTATTTGAAATGTATCACCAAAATTAATTAGCTATTTTAGGAAATGATCAGCAAAAATTATCACGTGAACGAAGAATTTTCTGGCATTGGCCAGTTTATCACGTGACGTTAAACAAATTCTATATGCCGATCATATAATTCCAGCAACCAATCCTGGTGCTTGTTCGGATATTAAAAAAAAAAAGCCACCAATCCTGGTGCAACAAGTATATTATTAATAAAAAAAAAAAATATTAATATAAAAAAATTGTTAGGTTTAAATTCTTTGAATTTATTGATTTAATAATTTGCTTAACAAATTTCTATAAATTAAAAATTAAAGTGCCATGTCATTTTTTTTTATTATTGTTAATAAATAGACGAGATTGAACATTCTTTTTTTCTTTCGATTAATTAATTATTTATGCAATGCTAAACCTTGCTAACACATTTCCTGCATAAGATTATTCAACCATTTTATGAAAGGCATTTTTGGCGTATTTCTGTTAATATTCTCAAATTGATTATTTTTTTATTTATGTTTAAAAAACCATTTTGATTGATGAAATCTGCTGGTACTAATTGCATGTGGATTCTTGTAATTAGAAAGTAAAGTCAGAATTAGCAAAAGGTAAATGATTTTGGATTTTAAAAATTTTTCTCAAGAAAAAAAAAAAATTTTTTCTCAGCAATTTAGCATTATAGAGTATGTCAAAGTAAAATAAGTAAAATAACTTGCAATAGTTTCAAAAAAAAAAAAAAAATCTAAATCATCAACAGAAACACTTTCATCAAAAAATTTAAAATGAAAATGAACTAGCCCTTAATCTCTCCGTTTTGATTCTTCTCATAATCGTCTCCATTGAGAGTTCCCTTTCGGTTCTTGTTTCAATGAATTCAAAGTTAAGTTTTTGACCGCTAAGTCATTTTTTACTCTTGCTGATACAAATAGAAAGCAGATCGCAATTCGAAACGTTTACTTTTTTTTGAGAACTTCAAGTTTTATCGTCATCATGGCATAAAGAACGTCCATATAAGAATGTTCGTTGTTTCCGAGTATTTGTTACCATATGTTTTTAATAGCTTTGGTGTTTTGAATGTTTTTAAAAAAAATTTCCTTTTCTGCTCGTAATAGTGTGATGTAATCTTTCCATCTTTATTATAAGGTTCTATAAAATATAAGCTTCATCTGCATGTCTTTTTTTGCTCTAGATGAAGCGAAATATCATACAATAATAATCCTCCACCGAATTTCCTCGATTCCCTTGTATCAAGCTCTTGCCCCAATGGAATGGCAAGAGTATTGGTAATATAATTTGAGAGCAATATAAAATATACTATTATAAGAATCAATATCCTAATTTATTCGAGTATCAGTACAAACGAGGTCTTTATACTAAATAATCATAATTGACACATCCAAAGAATCCTTTCAATGACATTCATTACATTTGTTGACAAAGTGTTAACAAAATTTCTCGTTTTATGCTATCATCTAATTAATGAAAACCATGAGGTAGATGCAAAGATCCGTCTTATTTCTTCTTTCTTTATGATGGCGAACTTAAACTTTGATGTTTAAAATACTATTCTGCTATAAAAATCATTACAAATTATTTTTCTTTTATAATATTAAAGACGCTTGAATCACTAAGTGATTTTCTAAGATGAAAGTTAGGAGAAAAAACTGAACGGGGAAAGTAAAATTCATGAGGTTTATATATATGCAAAAGCGCGTGAAAACCAGAGTGTAGTACTTAATTATCAACATCCAATCAGCAATTGCCCCATTTAGATTAAATGAAGTAATAAAAAAAATAGACAGTTTAACAGTATTTTCATTCTTATTCTGCCAAAAATGCTTGATTTCTTTACAATTCTAACGAAAGGTGGAATTGTTCTTTGGTCTAAATCTTTTACTCGTATTACTTCGTCACCGGTTAATTCTTTAATTGGAGATGTATTAATTGAAGAAAGGGCTGGAGAAAATAGTTATACTAAAGATTCTTATAGCTTAAAATGGACATTCGCAAATGAACTAGATCTTATTTTTGTGGTAAATGTCTAATAAAGTGAGTTGACTTAGTGAGTTTGTCAACTACGGCCCTTAGTGTTTTTATTATATATACATATATATGTATATTTCGATACTTTAATTTATTATAACGAATATTTATTTAACTAGGCTGCTTATCAAAAAATTCTTCAACTTGCATATATTGAAGAACTTCTTGCTACTGTCAAGAAATTCTTTTGTGATAAATTTGCCAATTTTATTAAAGACTCTGGTAAACTTCACAAATTCGATTTCGATGAGGATTTTGGCGCAATATTAAATAAAATCGAAGAAAAGGATTCCAAGGTTTAAAATATTCTTTAATATTGTAAAATGAGGATAATTATTAATCTAATTATTTAGTTTATTATTATTTTTTTAGAGTCATGAGAAGTTATCTAAACCACGACCATTTGAAAAAACTAAAAAATTTAAAGAAACTGCAGAAGGATCGAAAAAACTTAGTTAGTAAATTCAACATAATATTATCTTATCGGTTTATTTTTTTAAGGGATAAACTTTTATGATAAAAAAAAAAATCTTTTTTATTCAGGTGTGAGTGACATATCAAAACCTCCTACGAACCCAATTATCAGTGAAGACGAAATTGCTCGTAATATTGAAGAACTTCATCGATATAATGGAAAGCGTGGACGTGGTGGACGAAAACAGTCTGGAACTGGTAGACCTAATGTTTCATCAGAGTAAGTATAAGAACAAAAACGGATTTATTTTAAATAAGTTTTATTTTGATTAATAATTGTTTATTATATAATAAAGCGAAAAGAAGCAAGCTAGAAAGAAAACAATGCGTGTATGGGATGATAAAGTGTCAAAAGCAGAAATGGAAAGTTTGGATTATAGTGGAGATAAGGGTGATAGCGATAAATCGTCATCAGTAGATCCACAAAATTTGGTTGACCAAAATCAATTGGGTCAGTTTCAGGATGGGTATTATGAAGTACAAGATATAGGTCAAGATGACGACGAGGATGAATTTGAAGAGGATGATTATAATGAAACAAACGACACTTCAGTCGAAAATAATAGCGGATCTAGCATATTGTCATTTTTTAAAAGTATTACCGGACAGAAAGAAATTACAGAACAGGATCTCGTTCCAGTATTAGCGAAAATGAAGGAACATTTAATTAAAAAAAATGTTGCAGCTGATATTGCAGCTCATTTGTGTGATTCCGTTGCAAGAAATCTTGTAGGACAAAAGACCGGAAGTTTTAAGAGTACGTTTATGTTATGAATAAATTTTATAAAATTTCGTCATTAAATTAATCAAAATCTTCTCAACTCAAAAAGGCATTCAGTCAACTGTGAAACAATCCATGGAGATGTCATTGAAACGTATACTCACACCAAAGACATCGGTTGATTTGCTACGTGATATTGCGCAAGCTCAGTCCGATTCACGTCCTTATACGATTTGCTTTATTGGAGTAAACGGTGGGTTAAATTTGTAAGATAGATAATAAAAATAATGATATGCTTATACGTTTATAATTTATATAGGAGTTGGTAAATGTTTTGCAAAGGGAACCAAAATTTTAATGTATGATGGTACACATCAAAATGTCGAAGAGCTCAATGTGGGAAATCAAATTATGGGAGATGATGACAATCCGAGAACTATTCAGTCTACTACGAAAGGTGAAGGTATAATGTACCGTATTATCCCGAATGATAAGGGTCCAGCAAAATTTTTCGAATGTAACGATCAACATATTCTTGTACTTAAATTTGCTGCTGAACCATACATGCGAAGTGAAGAAATTCCCATCATAAATCGTAGTCCAAGGATTCGCCTCTTTTGGTATGAATATGACACACAGAATAACATGATCGTTAAAAAGAATGATTCTTTCTATTACGGCCCTGGCGAAGATTATCCTAAAAAAGAGGTAGCCAAGAGAGCAGCGATACGAGAAATGGCGAGAAGACCCAATCTTGTATCATCAGATTTCATTTGGGAGATACCAATTAAAGATTTCTTGACTGCGTCGGATGAAATACAACGAAGTTGTCTTATGTTTAAGCCAAATCAAGTTATTTTTAAATCGGTACAAGGAAGGTTTCGCGTTATTTTAAGCAAAATTCTTGGAGTCAGCCCTACTAATTCTCAAATTTCGGCTGCTTCATGGCTTGTTGGTGTTTGGATCGGTGGTGGAATTGTAAAATCACCCATTATTTATGTTAATGAAAATGAAAAGGAGATTTTAAGAGCTATAGAGCAATACAGTGAAATGTTGAATTGGAGATATATGAAAGAATTACATAAAGCTAAATTAGATGATTCAGAATGGAAAATTTCATTTATGAGCGATAATGATATTGAAAACGGGTTCTATGTCCTTCTTCAAACGTTGGATATTTTGGACACTAAAAAAGTGACACCAGTTATTATGACTGATGAACTTGATCAGGTTTGATTAATTTTGTTTTTATATAATAATTAATTCGTTCAAGAGAAAAAATTGTGAATTAACTTTTTTTTTAATCTAATAGGTTCGCTTGCCTCTACTCGCTGGAATTTTAGACATTAGTAGCCATTTACTAGAAGAGAACAGAAATTACAGATATGTTTACCGGTCCCTTCACGAGCGATGTGAACAAATCTGTAATCTGGCAAATTTATCAGGGTTTTATTCTACAAACATAGTTTCAAACATGAAAGAGTGTTCAGATAATATAACGACCCCATCTTGTTGTACGATTATCAGTGGCAATAAGTTAGAAAAACTTCCTTTAGTTATCTCACGTAAGAAAGTATTCAGAAATCGTGATCATCCCAAATTTAATCGCGATATGGTATGGGGATTTAAAGTAGAAAAAGTTGGCCTTGGGTCATATTATGGGTTCAAGGTTGATAAAAACGAGCGTATTTTACTAGCAGATTTGACAGTGAGTCATAATGTGAGTCTTTTTATTTTTTTTTAAAAAAAGCATGTGCTTTTTTTTGATTTATTATTAATTAATTATGTATATCCTCTCTTATTAGTCCACAAATTTATCAAAGACTTGTTTTTGGTTATTACAAAACGGATTAAAGGTCCTTATTGCAGCATGTGATACTTTTAGATCAGGTGCCGTAGAACAATTAAGAGTACATGTTAGGAATTTGAATGCTTTAGGTCAAAATTCAAATGTTGAATTATATGAACGTGGATATGGAAAAGATGCTGCTGGGATAGCAAAGGATGCTATTAATTACGGTATGTATAAAATTGACTACGGTGGAGACTTGTTGTTGACATATTTTTACATTTTTAGCCAAAATAAACAAATTTGAGGTTGTATTGATCGATACGGCGGGACGTATGCAGGACAACGAACCATTAATGCGAGCGTTAGCTAAGGTATGATACTGATCGTATTATATATATATTTTACGCGATCTTTTTGAACTAATTTTAATTTACACTATTAGTTGGTTTCGGTGAATAATCCCGACAAGATTATATTCGTCGGTGAAGCATTAGTTGGCAATGAAGCCGTTGATCAACTCACGAAATTTAATCAAGCTTTGAAAGATTTTTCAGGGTTACAAAATCCAAGACATATAGATGGAATGATTTTGACGAAATTTGATACAGTTGATGATAAGGTTTGGCGGAAATGATATTAAAGACTAACATATGGTAATCAAACACTAACTAAAATTTTTTATTTGGAACAGGTTGGGGCAGCCTTATCAATGACTTATACAACCGGACAACCGATTTTATTTGTTGGAACCGGTCAAACGTATACAGACTTAAAGAACATGAGAGTTGGACATATCATTCACTCTCTTCTTAAAGAATGAAATTTGAGGCTCACAAATCAGTCTGATTTAATGATGAACGTGGTTGAACACTTTGAACATTTAATATTTAATCAAAAATCACATTATTACTAATAAGAAATTTTTTTTTAATTTAATTTTTATTTATTTAAAAATTTGGGGAACTGAGAAAATCAATAATTATTTTATTTTATTTTATATATGTTTTGATTGATTTATCATTATTAATTTAACATCATTTCTGATCAAAATCAATGGTTTAATGATAGAGAATACATGTCAGAGAGAATACGCGTGATAGAGAGAACATTTGTGATAGAAGAATATGTATAGTAATGAGAATACGAATGTAGAGAATGTAGTACGTGTATTGAGAATACTTGCTGAATAAAAAAACATAAAAAAAAAAATAACAACAGATATAATAAATAAAAATAAAAAATCAAAATCAATCAGATCAAATCTAATAATCATTTCTCATTATTCAAGTTATTAGTAATTGGTCTTGAAACGTGTTTTTTTTTTAATTTAGTTTAGTTGTCTTCCCGCCGTCATAAAGATAGCACTTTGAATCTCCAATAATCCATTATTAAATGGAGTTCCTTCAGCTAATTCAGAATTTCATATACTAGAAACTTAAATTAAGCATTGCTATTTGAATATTTATATACAACCTGAATTTGTAACAATAATGAATAAAATATATGTTTATTATATATGTTTATTAAATAACAATTTATTTACAAATATAATTTAGTAGATTCTATATTAAAAAATAATAATAAAACATGAAATAAATAAAAAATAAACTAACTAGTTCGTAATAGAATTTCTGGTAATGGTAATTTGACCCTGTATGAACCCTCCTGTATGAAACACAATATATGCGGATCAAGAAGGTAATATGCTAGTTATTGTGTAAAATAAATAAAATAAACAGACCACCTTCATAAAAGGCGGTGGCACAAAAGTCAACTTTATCATCATCATCTTCCTCATCGCGAGACGCGCTAATTGGTAATACCTCTGCCAAGCTTCTATACCTCCAGAAAGGGATATAGAGTATAAAATGATCTGCTTATAGTAAGATATTGTAGAAATGATAATACTTCTCCATCGCCATTATACAGTACAAAGCCGTATCGTAATTTCTGATATCGATTTAAAAGACAGAACTGTAATTTCTGGTAACGGTCCTGTCCTGCGCAGTTGACACAACGTACATCTTTTTAAATTTCCGCGCCGAACTGTAGGATTAGGCCAGACCCGTAATTTCTGGAAGCGGATTAGGCCCAGCGTATATCTTTTTAAATTTCCGCGCATATGTTTGAAAGTAGATAGGCATAACATTTCATAATGACTCTTTCCGATAACCGTAATTTCTGACAACGGATTAGGTCCGAACTTGTCATTTTTTTTTTGGTTTTTTTTTTCATTTCACCTTTATAAATGGTAACGGTCTTGTTTCACTTTAAATTTCTGCGCGTGTGATTGAAAGTAAATAGGCGTGATATTTCATAATGGTTATATCTGCATATGGCTTCGTATGTTGCGCACAAACTTTTTTGAATAATGTGCGCTTTGTACGTATAAAGATAATCTGAATTTCCAACACTGGCGCCAAGTATTAGATGTTTCTTTTAAAATATATATTCACGTAATAATTATTGATTTGGCGAAGGTGCGGTTGTTAAGGGTTTGAGATAATAAGGTTCTTGAAGTATTGTAATGTGAAGTTCAGAGGTTCGTGAGTTTTTTTATGAGGTTCGTGAATTTTTGTAAGGTGAAGCTCGGAGGTTTGTGAGGGTGAAAGAAACAATAAAAAATTTTTTTTGGGTTAAAAAGAAAGCAATGAAAACGAAAAAAAATAAACTCTTATAATTGATGGCACGACACGTCAACACGTCTACGTGCTATCTTATTGCACTTATTGCACTTCTAAAAATAGTAAAATAATTAAAAAAACGCGTCCACCTGATCAACAATATTGCCTAGTATTTTCTGCACCCCCTTTTTTTTAGATGATCTGACTTTTATTTTGATATACAGTATTATAATTTAGGTTAATCACCGGGGGTTATCATCACCGTTGGCCGGAATTATCAATTTTGTCATAATTTTAGTCACCGGTGATCATTACCCCCGGTGATAGTTAGGAAAATTCAATAATTAACACTATTTTAATAGTGATATTTCGTGATTGGTTGTTATGCTAATCGGCTATCCCAGAAAGGAAGGAAAAATTTGCTATATGAATTGATATTGAGTTGATAATTGATATCTGATATTGAGTTGATATTATATGATATCAATATTATGGACAATATAAAAAAAAAAAAATTTTGATCATGATCTGTGATCCGAGTTGATCAAAAATCTGAAAGCTAACCATATATTAACATCAAGGAATTATAAATTGGCTGGTCAAAAATCTGTAAGCTAATCATATATTAATATTAAGAAATATTTATTATTCATATACATTGTTCAGGAGGCTGATTTTTTGTGATTAATTATAATATGAATTGAAGGAAGTTAAATATATATATCCGAATTTTATTAAAAAAAAATACTATATATATATCCAAATTATATATATAAATGATAATTTTCCAAATTTTATTTAATATATATATATGTATCCAAAAAATATATCCGAATTTTATTGAAAAAAATATATACCGAATTTTATTAAAAATTTATTTATTAAAAAAAAACATTATATGAATTTATTTATTAAAAAAAAAACATTACATGAATTGATTTATTTAAAAAAAATTATATATATTACATATTAATATTATAGGATATTTCAAATCAAATTTAGATGTTCCTATGTCCACATATTTTTTTTAATAAGTTTTTAATCTTGTGAAATAAATTTTATTGAATAATTTTATTTTGGATAGAAATGAAAAAATTTTTTTTAAAAAAATTAAATGTTGTTTTTTATAAATTTCAAAAAAAAATCTTCTTTTAAGACCAATTATAAGATTATTAAATCGAAACGTAAAAAACAATAAATTAAATTATTTTAGATGAAAAAAAAATAAAATAAATTATTTATTTATTTCAAATGAAAATTAAATTATATCTTACCAATACTTTGTTTCTGCAAATAAGTGTTAAAATTTATGGTATATATCATACTCTTTAGGGCCCTAGGGTATGACTCTAGTTTATATATGAAAAAATGATTTATTTTATTGTTATTGTTATCACCGATTTGGTCTGGAGTGATAACTAACATCAGAGAAGACTGATCAGTTGTGGCAAAAGGTCAAATAATAAGATTATAGGTGTTTCAATAATTTGTAATAAAATATAAGAGTATCACTAATAATTCCTAATAGAAAATTAGCAATAAAGGTGTAATTCTGGTAGATAATGTAAGAGTCTCTTAAGAATAAAAATCTATCAAACAAATAATGACAAAACACGCAGGTAAAACAAGTAAAACACGCAAAAAGTTTACTGTAAAAAAAAAGAAACTAACAATCAAATCAAACAATACTTCGGATAACACAATCTAAACTCTCTGTTAGATCTACTCAGATGTTAACCACTTTTATTCAAAAGAAAATATTGCCCTATATATGTTTACATTTTCATACATGACAGTTTGAACTTATCAATTTTATCCTATTATACTAATATGATTAATCAATCAATTGTCCTTTTCTCATTGCAATTATCTGCAAAAACCTTTCTATTGCCATTTTGTATAAGTTTCCATATGTCTATATGATTCATCAACTATGTAAATCTCAAGAAACTTCTCTAGCTAACTAATAAAGCAATTTTACTAATGTTATAATAACTAAACTGATACTTATAATTGATATTTATGAGTCAAAAGCAATAATAATACTAAAAGTGGTTAATTAATGTAAATAACCAATAAAACTAAAATATGTTATAGAAATGTAATAAACTCAGCCATAATCATGGGATTTCTGCGCGCTACATCATGTGACTTGTTCGATCAACAACTATTTCCATGGGTAACCCTAACAATAATTTTAAATAATTCTTTCTGCATTATACTATTAAATAAAATAAGCAATATATATATTTTTTCTTTTACTAAAAAATAGTAAAAATATTAATACAATTAATTCTGTTACAAAATATAAATAACTTTTCCAGATTTACTGAACAACTTTTTCTAAATGCTCAAAACTGATTTACTTTGACCAAAGTATTCAAATTGTATTGTGAATTAAAAAAAGTGTATTGTGATTATTCTTTTGTAAAAAAATTCATAACTTTGCAAGTATCTACTAAAACTTTGTATGCAAGTAGTTTCAAATTTACTAAACAACTTTACCTAGATTTTGACTAAAGTGCTAAAATTTCTCTAGTTTTTACACAAAATTTAGAAAAAAATAAAATAAAAACAATACTATTAAAATATAAAATAAAATATATGTATCTTGTTTACTAAAGTTTATTTATTATTTTAAATAATATAGTTTATGTTAGTTATAAAATTTTAATAAGAATAAACATCTAATAATATATATTGATTGTGTAATATAAATCACTGAGATTACATACTTAAGCTTTTTTGATGGTAATGCTAGGAAAGATTGGCTTTAGATAACCTTGTCTTAGTTCATTATAAGATTTTTTTACAAACAGATTTGTTATAACCAGTAGCAACTGTACTATTACTTTTTTGTAATTAATTTGATTATCTATAAAAATGTAAAATAGGTTATATTTCAGGAATAAGAATTTAAATCAAATATAAAATAATTATTTACTTGCTATTATTTGATTATTATAGCTTAAAAATCAGATGGCTATAAGTACATAAAAAAAACTATATATTTAAAAATGTTGCAGTCAAGTGGTGTTATATTTAATAAGAACTCATAACTGACTTTTTGCCAAAATTGACCCAATTTGCTCTTTTTTTATTTTTCGTTTTTTGCAATTATCTCAGCATATAGTGATCCGATACAAATTAAAAACAAGTTTATCAAAATCGGATCACTGATGCTGGGAAAATCGCAAAAAACTGATTTTTCAATTTTCTAAAAAGGGATGAGTTGTTTTAAAGATGTCTGGTCACTCACTCCTTAAGTTCAAACCACTAGGGGCGCTAACAACTATCCCTGTAAAAAATCTGATCCGTGTTTTATCTTTCCATGTTTTTTCCGTGAATGTATCATTTTCATGGAATTAATAGCCTTAAATCATGGAAATTTTCATCTCGCTAACACGGATATCCGTGAATGTATCATTTTCACGGAATTTTTACGGAAGACACGGATAAATAATGGAAATATNAGGATGCTATTAATTACGGTATGTATAAAATTGACTACGGTGGAGACTTGTTGTTGACATATTTTTACATTTTTAGCCAAAATAAACAAATTTGAGGTTGTATTGATCGATACGGCGGGACGTATGCAGGACAACGAACCATTAATGCGAGCGTTAGCTAAGGTATGATACTGATCGTATTATATATATATTTTACGCGATCTTTTTGAACTAATTTTAATTTACACTATTAGTTGGTTTCGGTGAATAATCCCGACAAGATTATATTCGTCGGTGAAGCATTAGTTGGCAATGAAGCCGTTGATCAACTCACGAAATTTAATCAAGCTTTGAAAGATTTTTCAGGGTTACAAAATCCAAGACATATAGATGGAATGATTTTGACGAAATTTGATACAGTTGATGATAAGGTTTGGCGGAAATGATATTAAAGACTAACATATGGTAATCAAACACTAACTAAAATTTTTTATTTGGAACAGGTTGGGGCAGCCTTATCAATGACTTATACAACCGGACAACCGATTTTATTTGTTGGAACCGGTCAAACGTATACAGACTTAAAGAACATGAGAGTTGGACATATCATTCACTCTCTTCTTAAAGAATGAAATTTGAGGCTCACAAATCAGTCTGATTTAATGATGAACGTGGTTGAACACTTTGAACATTTAATATTTAATCAAAAATCACATTATTACTAATAAGAAATTTTTTTTTAATTTAATTTTTATTTATTTAAAAATTTGGGGAACTGAGAAAATCAATAATTATTTTATTTTATTTTATATATGTTTTGATTGATTTATCATTATTAATTTAACATCATTTCTGATCAAAATCAATGGTTTAATGATAGAGAATACATGTCAGAGAGAATACGCGTGATAGAGAGAACATTTGTGATAGAAGAATATGTATAGTAATGAGAATACGAATGTAGAGAATGTAGTACGTGTATTGAGAATACTTGCTGAATAAAAAAACATAAAAAAAAAAATAACAACAGATATAATAAATAAAAATAAAAAATCAAAATCAATCAGATCAAATCTAATAATCATTTCTCATTATTCAAGTTATTAGTAATTGGTCTTGAAACGTGTTTTTTTTTTAATTTAGTTTAGTTGTCTTCCCGCCGTCATAAAGATAGCACTTTGAATCTCCAATAATCCATTATTAAATGGAGTTCCTTCAGCTAATTCAGAATTTCATATACTAGAAACTTAAATTAAGCATTGCTATTTGAATATTTATATACAACCTGAATTTGTAACAATAATGAATAAAATATATGTTTATTATATATGTTTATTAAATAACAATTTATTTACAAATATAATTTAGTAGATTCTATATTAAAAAATAATAATAAAACATGAAATAAATAAAAAATAAACTAACTAGTTCGTAATAGAATTTCTGGTAATGGTAATTTGACCCTGTATGAACCCTCCTGTATGAAACACAATATATGCGGATCAAGAAGGTAATATGCTAGTTATTGTGTAAAATAAATAAAATAAACAGACCACCTTCATAAAAGGCGGTGGCACAAAAGTCAACTTTATCATCATCATCTTCCTCATCGCGAGACGCGCTAATTGGTAATACCTCTGCCAAGCTTCTATACCTCCAGAAAGGGATATAGAGTATAAAATGATCTGCTTATAGTAAGATATTGTAGAAATGATAATACTTCTCCATCGCCATTATACAGTACAAAGCCGTATCGTAATTTCTGATATCGATTTAAAAGACAGAACTGTAATTTCTGGTAACGGTCCTGTCCTGCGCAGTTGACACAACGTACATCTTTTTAAATTTCCGCGCCGAACTGTAGGATTAGGCCAGACCCGTAATTTCTGGAAGCGGATTAGGCCCAGCGTATATCTTTTTAAATTTCCGCGCATATGTTTGAAAGTAGATAGGCATAACATTTCATAATGACTCTTTCCGATAACCGTAATTTCTGACAACGGATTAGGTCCGAACTTGTCATTTTTTTTTTGGTTTTTTTTTTCATTTCACCTTTATAAATGGTAACGGTCTTGTTTCACTTTAAATTTCTGCGCGTGTGATTGAAAGTAAATAGGCGTGATATTTCATAATGGTTATATCTGCATATGGCTTCGTATGTTGCGCACAAACTTTTTTGAATAATGTGCGCTTTGTACGTATAAAGATAATCTGAATTTCCAACACTGGCGCCAAGTATTAGATGTTTCTTTTAAAATATATATTCACGTAATAATTATTGATTTGGCGAAGGTGCGGTTGTTAAGGGTTTGAGATAATAAGGTTCTTGAAGTATTGTAATGTGAAGTTCAGAGGTTCGTGAGTTTTTTTATGAGGTTCGTGAATTTTTGTAAGGTGAAGCTCGGAGGTTTGTGAGGGTGAAAGAAACAATAAAAAATTTTTTTTGGGTTAAAAAGAAAGCAATGAAAACGAAAAAAAATAAACTCTTATAATTGATGGCACGACACGTCAACACGTCTACGTGCTATCTTATTGCACTTATTGCACTTCTAAAAATAGTAAAATAATTAAAAAAACGCGTCCACCTGATCAACAATATTGCCTAGTATTTTCTGCACCCCCTTTTTTTTAGATGATCTGACTTTTATTTTGATATACAGTATTATAATTTAGGTTAATCACCGGGGGTTATCATCACCGTTGGCCGGAATTATCAATTTTGTCATAATTTTAGTCACCGGTGATCATTACCCCCGGTGATAGTTAGGAAAATTCAATAATTAACACTATTTTAATAGTGATATTTCGTGATTGGTTGTTATGCTAATCGGCTATCCCAGAAAGGAAGGAAAAATTTGCTATATGAATTGATATTGAGTTGATAATTGATATCTGATATTGAGTTGATATTATATGATATCAATATTATGGACAATATAAAAAAAAAAAAATTTTGATCATGATCTGTGATCCGAGTTGATCAAAAATCTGAAAGCTAACCATATATTAACATCAAGGAATTATAAATTGGCTGGTCAAAAATCTGTAAGCTAATCATATATTAATATTAAGAAATATTTATTATTCATATACATTGTTCAGGAGGCTGATTTTTTGTGATTAATTATAATATGAATTGAAGGAAGTTAAATATATATATCCGAATTTTATTAAAAAAAAATACTATATATATATCCAAATTATATATATAAATGATAATTTTCCAAATTTTATTTAATATATATATATGTATCCAAAAAATATATCCGAATTTTATTGAAAAAAATATATACCGAATTTTATTAAAAATTTATTTATTAAAAAAAAACATTATATGAATTTATTTATTAAAAAAAAAACATTACATGAATTGATTTATTTAAAAAAAATTATATATATTACATATTAATATTATAGGATATTTCAAATCAAATTTAGATGTTCCTATGTCCACATATTTTTTTTAATAAGTTTTTAATCTTGTGAAATAAATTTTATTGAATAATTTTATTTTGGATAGAAATGAAAAAATTTTTTTTAAAAAAATTAAATGTTGTTTTTTATAAATTTCAAAAAAAAATCTTCTTTTAAGACCAATTATAAGATTATTAAATCGAAACGTAAAAAACAATAAATTAAATTATTTTAGATGAAAAAAAAATAAAATAAATTATTTATTTATTTCAAATGAAAATTAAATTATATCTTACCAATACTTTGTTTCTGCAAATAAGTGTTAAAATTTATGGTATATATCATACTCTTTAGGGCCCTAGGGTATGACTCTAGTTTATATATGAAAAAATGATTTATTTTATTGTTATTGTTATCACCGATTTGGTCTGGAGTGATAACTAACATCAGAGAAGACTGATCAGTTGTGGCAAAAGGTCAAATAATAAGATTATAGGTGTTTCAATAATTTGTAATAAAATATAAGAGTATCACTAATAATTCCTAATAGAAAATTAGCAATAAAGGTGTAATTCTGGTAGATAATGTAAGAGTCTCTTAAGAATAAAAATCTATCAAACAAATAATGACAAAACACGCAGGTAAAACAAGTAAAACACGCAAAAAGTTTACTGTAAAAAAAAAGAAACTAACAATCAAATCAAACAATACTTCGGATAACACAATCTAAACTCTCTGTTAGATCTACTCAGATGTTAACCACTTTTATTCAAAAGAAAATATTGCCCTATATATGTTTACATTTTCATACATGACAGTTTGAACTTATCAATTTTATCCTATTATACTAATATGATTAATCAATCAATTGTCCTTTTCTCATTGCAATTATCTGCAAAAACCTTTCTATTGCCATTTTGTATAAGTTTCCATATGTCTATATGATTCATCAACTATGTAAATCTCAAGAAACTTCTCTAGCTAACTAATAAAGCAATTTTACTAATGTTATAATAACTAAACTGATACTTATAATTGATATTTATGAGTCAAAAGCAATAATAATACTAAAAGTGGTTAATTAATGTAAATAACCAATAAAACTAAAATATGTTATAGAAATGTAATAAACTCAGCCATAATCATGGGATTTCTGCGCGCTACATCATGTGACTTGTTCGATCAACAACTATTTCCATGGGTAACCCTAACAATAATTTTAAATAATTCTTTCTGCATTATACTATTAAATAAAATAAGCAATATATATATTTTTTCTTTTACTAAAAAATAGTAAAAATATTAATACAATTAATTCTGTTACAAAATATAAATAACTTTTCCAGATTTACTGAACAACTTTTTCTAAATGCTCAAAACTGATTTACTTTGACCAAAGTATTCAAATTGTATTGTGAATTAAAAAAAGTGTATTGTGATTATTCTTTTGTAAAAAAATTCATAACTTTGCAAGTATCTACTAAAACTTTGTATGCAAGTAGTTTCAAATTTACTAAACAACTTTACCTAGATTTTGACTAAAGTGCTAAAATTTCTCTAGTTTTTACACAAAATTTAGAAAAAAATAAAATAAAAACAATACTATTAAAATATAAAATAAAATATATGTATCTTGTTTACTAAAGTTTATTTATTATTTTAAATAATATAGTTTATGTTAGTTATAAAATTTTAATAAGAATAAACATCTAATAATATATATTGATTGTGTAATATAAATCACTGAGATTACATACTTAAGCTTTTTTGATGGTAATGCTAGGAAAGATTGGCTTTAGATAACCTTGTCTTAGTTCATTATAAGATTTTTTTACAAACAGATTTGTTATAACCAGTAGCAACTGTACTATTACTTTTTTGTAATTAATTTGATTATCTATAAAAATGTAAAATAGGTTATATTTCAGGAATAAGAATTTAAATCAAATATAAAATAATTATTTACTTGCTATTATTTGATTATTATAGCTTAAAAATCAGATGGCTATAAGTACATAAAAAAAACTATATATTTAAAAATGTTGCAGTCAAGTGGTGTTATATTTAATAAGAACTCATAACTGACTTTTTGCCAAAATTGACCCAATTTGCTCTTTTTTTATTTTTCGTTTTTTGCAATTATCTCAGCATATAGTGATCCGATACAAATTAAAAACAAGTTTATCAAAATCGGATCACTGATGCTGGGAAAATCGCAAAAAACTGATTTTTCAATTTTCTAAAAAGGGATGAGTTGTTTTAAAGATGTCTGGTCACTCACTCCTTAAGTTCAAACCACTAGGGGCGCTAACAACTATCCCTGTAAAAAATCTGATCCGTGTTTTATCTTTCCATGTTTTTTCCGTGAATGTATCATTTTCATGGAATTAATAGCCTTAAATCATGGAAATTTTCATCTCGCTAACACGGATATCCGTGAATGTATCATTTTCACGGAATTTTTACGAAAGACAAGGAGAAATAATGGAAATATTCGGATAAAAATTTTTTATAGGGTATGGTGGTGGTGTATGAGAGTCGCAGGCTGTAGTGGCCTTTGAGTGAGCTTATATACCTAATATACGACCATAGAAGTGAGTGCTAGATGGTTGTAAGCCTGAATAGTTGGCATGCTTCAATTGCTTCATGACTAAAAATGAAAAATTATCAATAAATATTCCATAAGATTCGAGTGCATAATTGCATATAGGACAGATATAGGTGTATACCATTCGGTATATAGTGTAACCATAACAGTTAACAATATATTGGCCAGTACTAATCCCATAAAGTTGGCCAAATTTATTTTATTTATTTTTGACTTAAATTTACTATTAAATCTTAAAATTATATAACATATATAAATGGTATATACCGGCGGTATATACTCCTAAATATTATTTATCATCCTTACTAATTACATATAGTTAAATAATTTTCTTTTATAATATACTGTATATATATATTTAATAAAAATTATAAATAATTATAATAATTTGATAAGAAACATGGTTTTCTTTTAAAATTGTTATTTTATTTATTCCATAAATATTAGTTATATTTTAAATAAAAACCATTTTTTATTAAATTCTTTATCTTATATGTAAATTATGTAAATTTTGTAAAAATAAAAAAAAATTAATTTTATAATTTTAAAAATAATAATTAAATATTTATTATTTATTTCTTCTTTTTTTACCTGAATATTTTTTAATTATTTTATCTATGGCATGTAATAGATGCCTCCATTCATAAATCTTGATGTCTTTTTCCGCATTTCTTGGTTTTGCAAATGAATAAGACATCAAATCTTTATATATATCATCACTATCATTCTTATTTTTACCAACTGTTATTGGTTTATATTCTTCAAGATTACGACGAATTCGATTCTTTTCATCTGAAGTAAGTCTAATTCCTGTTAGACTTTCAAGTAAATTTAGATAATCCGTTGAAGTGAAATACCATTTATCACATTGTGTTTTCTTATCATACCAATAAAGGCAGGAAACAAAAATACCATTATTAGGCAGTTCAATTGGATCAACAGCTTTAAAAGAAGCCATAATTCGTTTTTTTGCTCTAGTTTTAAAAAATTGAACCACTCTTCGTCGAACATTCAACTCTTCTTGAGACCACAACTGTGTCATATCATTATGATTTCCATCAAAGGAAATTTGGACACCATTAAGCAAATCGGTCAAACTTTCCAAGGTAAAGATTCGAATCTTGTGTTTACGATCTGTAGGATGGCTTGATGGTACTATGGGTTGTTCTGTGGATACATTAATAAAAGAAAAAAATAATAATTTAATAATGTACTATAAGATAAATTATAAAACTTTTTTATACATACCAGGTTTGCAATCCAATGTTGCATCTGAAATTGCGTCTGAAATTGATGCATCTGAGATTGATGCATTTGAAATTGATGAAATTGATGCATCTGAAATTGATGCATCTGAAATTGTTGACAAATCTGAAGTTATTGGATAATAACAATAATTATCGTAAGGAATCTTAGATGAATTGTTATTATCGCTTAATGCATTCGAAATTGATGAAATTGATACATCTGAAATTGTTGACAAATCTGAAGTTATCGGATAATAGCAATAATTATCATAAGGAATCTCAGATGAATTATTATTATCGCTTAATGCATTCGAAATTGATGAAATTGATACATCTGAAATTGTTGACAAATCTGTAGTTATTGGATAATAGCAATAATTATCGTAAGGAATCTCAGATGAAGTTAATGAATAATCTAAATAAAAAATTTTTTAAAAAATATAAATTAATTTTTTCAATTTGAGAAGAACATAAATTTATATTACATAAAAAAATATATATATATACCAATTATATTCATTGTTAAAGGAAAGAGAGAGACTTTATTACTTTTGTCAACGGATAGGAACAAGGATAGGAAGGGATATCACGGATAGAAAGAGGTTTATTACAGATAGGAAGTAGGTTTTAATACTTTCACCATCACGAATAAAAAAGAAAAAATAAATAAAGGATAATGAACCTTTTTATATACATTATATAATCAAGCATTTTATCTATATCGATATATTATTATATGTTATATATTGTAATAATTACAATATTGAAAAAAATGTTTGTGTGACTATAATTTCATCATGCAATATTTTACTCGAAATTACAAACCTAGGTTCATTAGATCAATTTAATACGTAAGCATAAGCATATGAGAAAAATAAATAAAACGCTTACAACATCAAAATTTAATTAATAATATAATTAAATTAAAAACATAAAAAAAAAAAATAATATATTCATCCAATAATTTTGAAACTTTGAAGAGATTCCGTAAATGGAATAATAACGACACAGACCATATAATTATCAAATAAAAAAAGTCAATTTTTTTTTTTTAAAAAAAAGAAGTTAGCCCTTTTTTCGATCTACGATCTGGTAAATCAAAAAATCCAAATTATTGTTTTACAAATTTAGCTTCTAACCGTATTACAAATGTAATCATTGCTGCACTTTGAATTTTTAATAGCAAGTTCATCTATAACAGAAAAAAAACTCCAGAAATTTTCAATAAACATTTGAATCGTGATTTATATAGATCAAGGGAGAATTATCTATTTTTTTTATTACTTGAAATGTTTTACAATCGAGAAAACGATAATAAAAAAAAAGATGAAAATATATGAAACTAACAAGCCACTTTTTTTTCCCATCTTTTACTAAGTAATAAAACCTGTTTGATGAAAAATGAGATGGAAACTATCCTAAAAGATATAAAGCTAAACTTAATTTATTAAAAATTTAAATTATTATATACAATATGATATACATATTTATATATACATGACATATAAATATGAATATAACAAAATTTTCTGCGGTCATCTGGAATAATGAGTAGATGTTATATTAACAATAGTTATGTAGACAATATGAATTACGAATATGAATTACGAGTAAAAATGACTAATAACAACAAATTCGCAATACATATAATAATTTGCATCAATCTTACTAAATATGATTAGATCTCATGGTGTGAGAGTTTTATTAAACTTCTAAATTGCGTATATTTAGTTAAAATGTTTAAGAATTTTATTTATTTTCTTTATTAAACAAATGTTTCTCACGTGATTAATATTTATAGCCAATTAAATTAAGTTAGATCACGTTTCTTAATTGTTTGTTCCTTTACGCGTTGAAATTTGAAAATTATTGTTTTTCATAAAAAAAATTTTTTAATGGTACGCTTCTCTGTTTACCTACAAATTATAAAAAAAATTTTCAACTCCCTTCGAATGCTGTACTTTATCGTCTATATATTATGAAGTTGGATGATAGGGAATTTGTAACCATGTAGCGATTGTAGCGTGTACCAAGTTCACCATCACGGCGGACTATAGGGGGTCTCCTTATATAAATATACTAGTCCATTAACCTAAGTGATGGTAGTCGGCCATAGGTACAGCGATGCTACTTTGGTTGAGATATACCATTGCCATGGTTGGGTGTATTAGAGATGTCTGGGATCCTTATTTAGACTAGTTATATAAATAAATCTGTAGCACTATTTTCATTTGTTCAATAATCGAGCATCCTTAGTGTACAGTAGGAATATATAATTAACATACAAGTTATGTGACAAATAGTGACAACAAATAAATTTTCAAATTTCAAGTGATCATTTTTATTTTATTTATTTTATGTAAAGTCGGAAGGACTATTCTAAGAGAGCATTAATTACAAGAATTGCGCCCAACTTTTAGTCCATCATCTATCCCGAGGGGCAATTTCAAGTGATCAAGTCCCAAGGATAAAGGGATGATATGGATATTATCAAATCACATGATCGAACACGTTCCCCAAGTTATGGTGCGATTATCAGTGATTTTTTTGAAAAATTTGTCAAACGAAATTATAATTCTAGCCAGCACTATAACTTTAGTCTAAATTATCCAGAAGTTATACTGTATAACAAATTCATTATATACCGAATTAAACCTCCTGGAACAAAGGATTCATTATATCCGCCGGTGGTAACCGTATTTTCATATTACTTTTATGTTTTATATATACAGTATATTTGCAAGAGAAATGCCGGAGTTCTTGACGAAAATGTTATTCTGAAATATTAAATATCATCATTCTTTTTTTTTGTTTCATTTTTTTTTAACATATCAACTATTATTATTATCAATAATAAATATTCTTTTATCCAAATTTACGTTGAATAAATTTTTTTTACTTAAATTATAAAATTTTAAATTTTTATATTTTACATCCTCTCACTCCAAAATTAAATGATCCTTTCTCTTTTTTTATAAATTTTAGAGTATTCGATTGACTATTAGTGAAAAATGTGAGCAATTTTTATGTTCGAATTATTAATGCAATTTACCTGCTGTCAGCAGATGCTCAGTAAATCTGCTTAGTGAAATTTTTGGATGTTTGTTTAAGACTTCTCATATATCAAATTATCCATCAATTTTCTGATCCGAATCTTTCTCTTGAAGTTCTTTAGTACGTGGATAATTATAAAGCGTAAGATGTAAATAATATTGCTTTATTTATTATTATTATTTATGTGATTTAACTAATAATGTTTTAGAATGTAGATATTAATTTTACATTATTATAATAGCATGCAAAAGTACTGTAAAATTATTTATTTATTTGAAGTTTAATAAATAAAGTTTGGCAAAATCTTTTACTATATTCTTACAAATTATGTCACTTATCAATCAAAACAAACAACCAATTTTTGAAAAAATTCGTTATTTCCAACTCAAACTTGATAAGTTATATTATAAATTCAAATTCATACAAAGCAGAAAGTAATAAATAATTAAAAAAGTGAAAAAATCTAATTTCTCTTAGGTTAGTTAGTTGGTGCTGATTTAGTTATTATTTTTGATAATTCTTCAGTTTTTTTCTTATCAATATATTGTAACTATTAGTAATGAATATTGATCTCAATTTTTGGCAAGCTTTTAATAATGAAATGTTCTAATAATAGTGATAAATTTTTAATCAAGATTTTCGTGGATTTTACAAATAAAGATGAGAAATTCTTCATTATAATCATTTTCAACAAACCAACCCCATAACCGTCAAATCGTAATTAAATTTCTCTGAGGCGTCCACCACTATTTTCAATTATAATAGAAGCATCAATTAATGAAATGAATTAAATCAATTAAAGATGCCAACATTTGATACTTTTAATTTATGAAGTTTTGTGAGTAAATCTTGTATACAATAAATTAAGGGACATTATTAAATGATTAAGAACATGCTAATACAAGAAAAATTTCCTTGTAGAAATCAGATGAGCTTTAGCTTCTGGGAAATAAAACATTTCATGTTTGTTTGATTTAATATTCAAATATTTCAATTCACATTTACTCATTAAAAGATTGTAAATTTCTTGTGCAAAAGAAATTGATTATATGAGTTTAAAGCTCCTATAGGAATTATAAAATTCATAAATATCTATATCAATATTCTTGCAGAACAAATAAAAATGAATTGTGTAAAATTTGGGGTACTAGAATTTTTAGGTATTCTTTACATTGACACAGCTTTTAAGTGCTCAGACATTCATATCACCCTGTGTAGAATTATAAAGTCCTTCGTCACACTTCGGACTAATTAGGAATGAAAAGAGAGATTTTGAAACCTCTTTCAGTTCTTCTAAATCAAAAAGAATATCTTTATTAAGCTTTGGCATTTTCTTCTATTACATTTTAACAAGGATATTTATAGAAGTGATATTTTATATGGTATTGAGACAGAAAAAAACTAAAAGGAACAAAAATTTGAAAATTTATAAAATCCTCACCTTCGTCGGATTATTCTGTGCGACTTAAAATGCTGTTCAAATAATGTTTAGCAACATTAATAGATTATTTAATGATCATTGGTGGTGAGTGAGCGTTAAAATTATAATTTCTTTCTCTTTTTTAATTCATAATACATAATAATCTGCATATTTACATTTTTACATTCCACTCATTCTACCTTTTCACAAAAAAAAAATTGCTTAATAAATTAGATTGGGCACTGAAATTATTTATGCAGTTTTTCTGTACGATATTTGTTGAATGAAGTGTTAGTGGAATATGGTTTGACTTATGTATAATATATAGAAGTTATGTTATATTTGTAATATAACTTATGCAATCAAATTGAGAATAAAAATTCATATAATAAAACAAGAAATCTATAAATCTTGATCAGCAGATGCTCAATAAATTTCCCATATATTATTATCCTAACAAAACTCTTTCATTTGAAGCACTTTATTATTGTGATATATATGACCAGTATGACATATTAGAAAAAGGCGTAAGATGTAAATAGCCGTATTATTTCTCATTTACATTATACATTCGATATGAATATTTATATATAGTTATTATTCCAAAATATAGAATTGTTAATGGAATATTAAGCTTTATCGCAAAAAGTTCAAATTCTCAATTTTACGTATATATATATAGATAAAATTCTGGTAAACATTTTTTATTTGTAACTTATAATACGATTCTTACAAACTTAATATTACATACAACGCAAAGAAATAATACAAACATATTTAATAAATATAAACATATGATATGTGATAAATTATGACTGAGCTATTTTACTTTAAATTTAATAGTATATATTATTTCTTCCAGGATCACACCTAAATTCTCTAATTACTCCATTTTCTTTATATTTATCGATCAATTTCATATAGTCATCTCCCTTATATATAGGATCAGATGTAAGTATAGTAAGTGCAGGCCGGTCCTTCCAATTTTTAAAGAATGTCTCCAAATTTTTCAAAGAAAATTGAAATTCTTTAAAAAATCTAATTTCTCTTAGGTTTTTCGGTGCTGATCTAATCAATATTTTTAATAATTTTTCTCCAGTTTCTTCTTTATTAATACTTGGTATACTTAATAATAATGATTTCAAAGTTTGACAACTTTTTAATAACGTTTCAAATTCAGTGAAATGATCCGCTGTTGATAGAAATAGTAATGATAAATATTCAACTGAAGGACAATTTTGATGGACTTTACAAATAAAATTAAGAGAATCTTCACCAAGGTTATCATACCAATATCCGTAATCAATATATCTTAATAAAATTCCTCTGAGATGTCCTCCACTATTTTCAATTATAGCAGAAGCTTCATTTAACGAAGTGAAATCAATATTAAAGGCCTCAAGTTCATGATATACCAACATTTTTAATTGGATTTCAGAAAAATAAACATAAACATTATTAATTATTAACGTTTTTAATTTATGAAGTTTTGTAAGTACATCTTGTATGATTGTGTGTTCATAACAATCAATAAAATCAAGGAACAATATTAAGTGATTAAGAGCGTCAGCTTTTTGTGCTAATGCAAGAAAAATTTCTTTATAAGGATCTTCTATAAAATCTTCATCGTCAAAATCATCCTTCAACTCAAAATATTTTAGATTTCTTTGATTTTCAATTAATTTGACTAATCCATGATTAATTTTCATTTTTCTGTTTATAATAATAAGTCTTTGTATATTTTGACAAATACGGGCTAATCCATGAAAGTATGAAGAATCAATATATGTATCACATTCTAATTCGCAAAGTGATTCAAGTCGAGTCTTAGCTCCTGGAAAGTAAAATATTTGATGCTGAAGTGATCTAATATTAATATACTTAAATTGAGAACATTTCCTCATTAAAAGATTGTAAATTTCTAGTTGTAAAAGAAATTGATTATATGATTCTGAAGTTCCTATAGAAATTATATCATTCAATATGTCTACATCTATACTTCTGCAAAAAGATAAGTAATCAAATAAAAGAGGTTGATGTAAAATAGGAGGTAAGAAGATTTCTTGACTTATTAGAGATTCTTTAATATCATCTGATAGATAGGAAATGATAAAAGAGTATAATGAATTTTTATTACGATAATTAATATTATAGCACCAAGGGTTTTTCCATAAGATTGGAATAACAGTTTCGCACCAAAGCCTATTAACCATTAGGCATGAAAAGAGAGATTTGGAATCTTTTTTTAATTCTTCAAAAATTAAAAAAAGAATATCTTTGTTAAGTTCAGGCATTATTTATTCAATAAATAAAGAAAAAACGTTTAATAATCTGTTATAACTAGAAGCCTGGGAATATATAATTACAGAAGTACAAAATAAAAGAAACAAAAACCCCCTAAAATTTATGAATGGAACTAAATTTATATAACAAACCCGAACTCCGAACCAATTGGGTTTGTAAAAATAATATTTCACAAATGTACGTTAATTACCTGATTAGTCCGAAATGTAACAAAGGAATATATACTTCTACGCTTGATGACGACATGTCCATCCGACACGTGATGATGTATCAGCAATAAGACTTTAAATGGCACCTCGGACTTTATAAAGGTTGCCCCGAAGAGAATATGCCCGCGATTGTGCGTGAAGATTTAGGCAGTTTAATATAATGAATTTC